ATAATCAAGATCAACACGTTTAGAAACGTTTGCCAGAAAGAACTGCCGTTGCAACTTACAAAGACCGATTCCTTGAATGAAGTATTGCATGCTCTCGATCACTTTGTCGGGCTTAAGGAAAGCACAAATGAGAGTTAGTTTAAACATAAGATAAGGAGACGATTTATTCCTTCAGATAATCAGTTGATTGTAACGTTTTCCCTCAACAATTGAAAATGTAGTGATAAACGAGGATCAGGGCCTTCGTTAAAAGGAGTCTGCGAAATAAGTTATACTGATAAATACATCGCGCAAGCTTTGGCCTCGGAAAGACATGGTTATGATTCTTCTTAGTGCAGTTTCGAAATCGAACTTTACTCAAGGCAATAACAAAAATGCTACCGTGAGATATAATAAAAATACAGGCGAAAGGGTAAGGAAAATTAAAAAAATATGAAACTTCGCAACTGCGCAAAAAAATTCGTTGCAGACAGTTGACAGAATATCGGCGGATAAAGCGGAGGAAATCAAAGAGCCGAAAAGCGAAACAAAATGACTTAAGTCAACGAGCTAATTTGGAAACTGCAAGCAATGCTCCCTCAGCGATGTATCGCAAACGCAGTTGAACTTTGACCAGTCTACGCACACATATGCGTCAATTTGGACTTCTTATTTCGATTAACTTTACAGTCATTTGCAGCCTTCTTTCTTCGCTCGCGGCTCGGTAGGAAACGGGAGGCCTGTACATTTTCCCTCAAAACTGCTTCCTGTCATGGTACAAACCAGATAGGCAAAAAGCAAGAACTTGGATACTGTCATCTCAGCGATTCCTCACAGACGCCGACCAACTTTGGGCAGTAAATTTGTCTCGCCTTTAAGACGCACCACAAATGCGTGCACTGGGACTCTCTAATTCAACAGACTTTTCAGTCATGTGTAACTTTCTTGTTCTGCGCCATCTGCAAATGAAACAGACATGCTTCAGCTTCGCTCTCAATAAGTCTTCTGGGCATGTAGGGAAATACCCAAACCCTGGTTAATAATAGGAATTGAAGGAAATAGTGGAATTTCCATTTTCGGGATTCGTGGCGCGTTTGGTTAAAACTGCATTTTTATTTTACAAAACAGCGGAGTCATCACAACGGTGACATATGCAATTACTCAGGTTTGCAGTAGTCAGAATTCCGGGAGTAGAATCAGAGACCACGTTATGCTTACCGGCATGTGTTCGTTTGTTCGCTGACAGTTGGGAGGGTATCCTTTGTCATTGCGTGAACTGACTTTACCGATCAGCAATTCAAAGTTGCGGCTGTACGTGTTGGCCATGGACTGATAGGTTTTTTATGCTCGCTGCTTGGCCCTGCGTGTAGATTGTGGCACAAATTGACGGCAGCAAGTGTTGTGCTTCGTCCCCATGGTAAAGGCTGCTGGTAATCCTGCTCCCTCTTCTGATGATTTCGTCACAGGCGGTCTTTGTTTGCAAACCCTTAATTATGTTTGACCTGGTCCCGTCTTTAACGTAAGCAATGGCGTAGGAGCTGGTAGGCGCGGGGAGGTCCGGATGCCTGTTGGCAGAGTAGGCATCCGAGTACCATGCCTCAAGGGTTAGTTTGTCCGCTTTTGAGGTTCCCCGGCCTACGATAGTCGCTCCTTGAATGTGGAAGTTGTGGTCAGTCTCTCCGATATGCGCTGCAATCTGTGTGTTTGGTCTCCCAAACGTAGCTGCGTTATAACTATTTTCCAGAGTTGACACACATTGTAGCACACCAGCTGACAAAAGAGGGAATCAATAATACATGCGTGACCTCTCTCGAGCTAACGGATAGCCTAATTCATTTTTTCTCAAAGCAAGCGCCGAGTGAATAAACGACGGGCAACAGAATGGAAACTCAAAGTCTGGAGGGCCATTTCCTACATAAGAGCAGTCTCCGAAGCAGTGTCTCGACTGTTACAACCCGCTGGAGTAGGCATAGCTAATCGACCTCAGGCAACGATACGCCGCCGAGTGATGCAGTCAAAGACAGACTGCCCCCTACTAAAAACCTGCGCAGTATTCTATAAAATACTTCGCAATGATGGAGACTGCAATTACGTTTGAGAAACGGGGCTCAAATTGCAGACCCGCCTACACGGACGTAAAGCGGAGGCCCGGAGACCTGACCCAAACTCGCAGCTTGCAACACATATCGGAGAGACTGGCAACAATCTCGATATTCAAGGAGCGACCATCGTAGGCTGGGGAACCTCAAAATCGGACAGACTAACGCTTGAGGTATGGTACTCAGATGCCTACCTTGTCAACAGGCATCCGGACCTCTCCGCGCCTACCAGCTCCTACGCCATTGCTTACGTTACAGAGGGGACCAGGTCAAACATAATTTAGGGTTTGCCAACAAAGACGGTCCGTGAGGAAACCATCGGAAGAGGGAGCAGGATTACCAGCAGCCTTTACCATGGGGACGAAGCACAACACTTGCTGCCGTCAAGTTGTGCCAAAATCTACACGCAGGGCCAAGGAGCGCGCATAGAAGAAAAACGATCAGTCCATGGCCAACACGCACAGGCACAACTTTGAACTGCTGATCGGTAAAGTCACTTGATGCTTTGACAAAGGACAACCGGTCTAGCTGTCCAAAACGTTAGCGAACAACCGAAAACATTCCGGTGAGTATAATATAGTATCTGATGAAATTATTGATTTCGCTACTTTACCAGTGGAAATTCCATCTCTGCTGCTATCAAAGAGTCAACTAGTTATCTGTGTGCGAGAAGATATAAAAGATCCTATCAGTCTTTGACTGACATACGAGGAAAAGAATCAGCCAACATCTATTGGAGGCGCATACATATATCTCTCAGCTCCAACCCCTTATCGTTGCCTTATCTCTTTAGGATAGATGATGCTGAAAAACGTTAAAGTTTAGACTGGGCAGAAATCCCTATAATATGAATATATTATGCAGACCTAATGCCTTCTTATTCAGATAGTCCACCATTACTTAAAATCATAACAAAACTGACTTATACCGATTTTTTTTCTGTCAATTAAAGAAATGAAGAAAATACCTCACTAATATATTTAATGCTACTCCAAAATGAGGTATGTGTGCGGAAGGTAAATAAATTTCCTGGTCTTCGTGATATATGTGTTCACACTAAAGCAGAGATATGCAAGATAAATAAATATCAGCAGGTGACGACTTATTGGGAAAAAATGTTCACCAAGTTGAAATGTCTTTCCCGCTATACTGCGTATACAGATATGCCATCTTCGTAAGACGTTGGATATCTTGTTATATTTTGCGTCAATAAATAAATGCAGCTGCAACAGCACATATTAAAAAAAATCTTGCAGCCCTCCTCAATATGGATATATTTTCGGAAGAGTAGTTTCGGACCATACATAGGCCTTTCGTAAACTCTCATCAGGTAATTACATTTATACGAGAAGGGTTAATATATAAACATGCGGGTAATAATGTGTATTATTACATGCAAATTAGTCATGGGAATACGGAAGGGGACTGATAATAGGCGCCTAATTACGCAGCGACGAAGATTTGTTTATGCCTGACCAGGGGAGTGGGGAGGAGGGAGAAAGTGCGGGAAAAATGCAAGATGTTATGTGACCGTAGGCCTATTCCCATAACGAATTTGAATGTAATTATGAAGATAATTGCCTGCATGATTACATTTTACCCCTTATTCTACATAAATGTAATGACCTGATGAGAATTTATTTAACGTGCCACATACTCTTCGGAATTCTCTGATGGAACTTTTTGCATCTTTAAAATAGATATTGCTATGCTTGGGTTTGAATTTCCCATAAAATTCATTTTGTGATAAGAAATTATTTTTGAAAAGTGACAAGTGGTCCCCCAAACCGTCTCCGAGCTGGCGTTTTGAAGTCTTTACAACTGGCGTTTGATGCTAGACATCGAAAGAAGCTGTAACTGAAGCTAATAATTGCACAGAATGGCCAACCGCTCATTTTGTTTAAGTACCGTTCTTTTTCCAATTCAATTGCGCTCTGGCTTTTCGAGATATTTTTGCTGCTAGTAGTTCATCAGTTTTCGTAATGTGTAGACAAAATGTTATTATCTAAACGCACAGAAACGTCGTAACACTTGAGTGGAATGTTTTTACTGTTGACTCAGCTCACCGCAAAAACATCAACTGAAGTGTACATTTGTTTTATTCAAAATTAGTTATAAAAGTAATTTGATTTTTATATTCTCGCTGTCAGATAATATAAACGGTTGACCTATAGCATTCCAACCGAACTAAGACAAGAAACTACACCATCATAACTGCCTAATTGCAATCTGTTCCCCGCTTTTTATAAGAAAGAACTAAATTTTGCACTGAGATCATTTATCTGTTGGTATTTCTTCATTTTCTGTAACACGTTACTCTGTGACTGCCTGTGTGGGCAATAAACGCAAACACTCAGTTAAACCAGAAAACGTTTTTTTCGCTTTGAGGATTTTAATTTCACAAGGAGCGTTCCTATTTGGAAGACTGAAAATGAGCTCTTATCAACAATTCTAAATGGTCTTGGTCGCTGAGTAAGCAGTCCTCACGCCCACCGAGAAAGGCTACTGTCAAAAAGTGCATGAGAACGGACAACTATATTGTCGTAAATATTGTATTTATGGTGAGCGAATAAGAAAAATATACTAGACAGGCGCTAGAACCCGTGCGAAAAAGTCAATTTTAGGCTATGCAGCGTAGCTTAAAACAATTTATTTTCACTAAGTTCTCTCCCCACTCTTACCCGTCTTAGAAAAAAAGTGTTCTGTCTTTTACTTCCACATACTTTTTACCAAACAGTTTTTCAAATCGCAGCCACTAAACGTCTGCCAATCGAATGCAGCAGGATTCTCGCCCAATAGCCTGCAAGATTGGACTGGCGGTGCAAAACCAAAGAATCTGGTACAACGCACAGCTTGCCACTTTGCATTCTCAATCAGCCACCTAAAAGCCAATTCTGTACAGTTGATGGTTGCATTTTAATTTATGACACTCTGACTCCGGCCATTTTTTGAGTAAAATCTCTTGGGCTAGGAGTAGAACGCTGTCCTTACTGACACGCACCGGTTTATCGGACATTAAATTTGCTTGCGACATAATGCGCACAATTGAAAATATATTCTAGTTGACCTGAGGCTCTAACAGAGAATCTCAATAACAAGATAGCGAGACAGGGCTGTAATCTTACTCCTCTATACCGACTCTCTGCAGAAAAATGACTTTTTTCTTTCTTCAGGGAATTGGATACAACATTTAATTTAAGTTAATTGCTGACAACAACAACATTTTTTCCGCTTCTGGAAGAAAGTAATCATTGAAATTAAAAGCAGAACCCAACAAACCAAAAAACTATGCCTTCGCGTTTCACTGAAAACAGCATCTGAGAGACCTTTGACGGCAACGCTTATTTTTTTGAAAAAAGTATCATGTAAGTTTTCAATTTTTCTACAGTTTTTTAGGCATCCAGTATTGCTCAAATTAGATAACACATTCGCCTAGAATATGCGATCATGTCGATAAAAATCGATTTGAGTAACTGCCATTTTTCAATTTCGGATGTGCAAATAAATACGTTCTACATTTAAAAGGCAACTTTGCAGAATTGAACAGACAAAAACTGATTGACACTTGGATACCTTGACCTTCAACTCTAGATCTCAGTCCCATTCTTTGCATAGTTCTGGAGAGATATTTTTTACCAAAATAATCTAATTTTTAAAAGAGTGTTTATTAGAAAGGCTAAGCAAACGCTACAATGAACCACGACAGTATACTACATTTAGTGGAAGCGTGTTTTACTTACGCGTTCGGCCAGAACATTTGCGACATTTTCTATTACCACGAGCTCACGCGTAGACATGGAATTTTTGTTGTCCTTGTGAGCCTTACGTAGACATTCGTACAGTTTTTCGCAACCCTTTCTTTGCGGTGCTAGAGCACCGGTTATAAGAAGGACTGAACATCTTAAAAGCAATAAAAGGTAAATATTTAATACACGAAACTGAGGCAAATGTTATGGTTTGTCTTTGACTGTGCACTAAGTGTCCTGAGATAGCCAAAGATTTTAACAAACGTGGACTGTTTTCGCCTCCCTTTGATAGGCCTAAAGCACATTCGTATTCACGCGGCCTTCGTAAACATAACCATTAACCACCTACACCGTAATTACACTTCCTCCTCTAACCCTACATGCACCGGGGTGCTCTACGTGTGTTTAATGCCTTCAAAGGTTAGTACAAACCAGAATGCGAGGTTTTACAGATCTTTTTAGTTAGCATGAGTTTTTAGGCCGCTTACAAAAGTACACGCCCCGAATTCACAAGGACGCAAGGTATCCTGTCGTGACGAGCTTTTATATTTCTTACCTGAAAATCTTAAAACTTACTACGCTAAGTGTATCTTCCCGGTATTTCCTCTAACCGTCAAGTTCAATATATTCTCTAAATTAAGTTCTGAAACCACTGACCGTACATGCAATCAACAAATTCTTTGTTCCAGTGCGGTACACGGAAGCCTTAATAATTTTTCAGTTTTGCCAGGATTGGTGCTGTGAATTCGTGCTCTACCAATTCCCCCTTAACAGATTCCATGCAGTATCTGTAATTATTTACTCTGGTTAAGTCACCAATACTTATCTTGCATGAATGCTACGAAAAAAACCCTGCACATATAACCAGTGGCAATAAAAATGACTATAAAAGAGATCGAACTTACTTCAGTTCAGCAAGTCGGTCAATAAGTGTTTTGCGTCTGAAAAGAGAAATATTTATTTCCTTAGGAAACAAATTGGCCGGTATGAAGGTTGACTCAAGTAGAATGTTAATATAAATTAGTCTTGTGTCCAATAGTCACTTTTATTTGCCAAGTTTAAGGAGGTAAATATATAAATGCGTCAGGTAAAAAAAGAGTAACTTAGATTGTGGTCTGCGGTAACTTACAAGAGTTCCTGAGAACAATTTTATTTTCCGTTTGGGAAAAAGATCAATAAATACTTTGTTCCCCAACTTCCGACAGTAGCCGAACGTTTGGCAATTAAACTTTTACAAGTCACAACACTTATAAACGGAACATTGTCCGATAAGATCAAAAAACTTCAGAGTGTGTACCGACTCTAGACATATACCTTCGAATCCATGTAGCACAGTTAATTCCTCCTGGCACAAGTTAGTTAACACACCACACGTCAAAACACTGTCAAAGTGGGTTGCCAGACAACCTGGTAGTCAGGTTTGCGCTTTCCAAAGTTGAACGCGTTTTGTGGGGTAGCGGCGTCGGTTTGATCAGTTTGCTGTCCACTGAGGATACCGTTTGCTGGTAACCAACCAAGAACTCAATTAAACGAAACTTGACGTGCGCACAAATGCACGTATTAAAAATATTAAATAAAACATGTTTACCAAATTAAAACCTTCAATGAGGGCCCCACACGAGAGAATTTTACATATTTAATAAAAATCGCCATATAAACTTGAACTCCCAGATTTTATAAGTGAGCATCAATAACTAAGCGGGTATGAAACATTTACGCATCAGAATTACTTTAAGGGTGCCTCTACCACACATTTCGGGAAGGATAAATATCCTCGTGTCCTAACCTTAACTGAAACGCTAGCCCTAACTTCCCTGGAAGCCTCGTGTCCAATATGGGCAGTTCTCGTTGTTATTTCCTATCGAGGTTTCATAGAAGCAACAACAACGAGCAACAGTTATAGGGGGCCCTTTGACTAATTTAATAAACAGTAGGGGCCGTTTGGAAAAGTGCTGCTAGATAACGACACCCAGAGTTTACAGCCATATTAGCTGTGCCACAATACGACGTATCTAAGAAAATGGGGGGTTCAAACAACTGGTATTTCTGCTATGCTCAAAACACCACTGCAGCCACTTAGACCCCGGGGTTAAAACCGATGGCTTGGAAAGCGGAAATAGGTTCGCACTTGAAGTTTTAGTCCATTCGCATCTGACTACCATTTTTTTGCATTTGTGGTGAGAAAAGGAGGACAGTCTACTGTTATATATAACGTCCTGTGAACGTACAACCATCGACACGTGGTGCATTTTTTAATACTTTAAAGACAGGTAGAAGCAGTCAGGCAATCAGGACCCTTCTTAGGAAAATAAAATATATATTACACTACTAGATCAAATCTCATGTTGGAATTGGATGGCTTACTACAGTTATTTAAAATATCACTTTGCAGGATTGGTATTGAAGGAACAACACGATTTGGCATGCGTAAACAATAGTCCGTATAAGCTCAGATGACGAACATGTGCCTCCCTGTCCATATCGTACATCACAAAATACAAAATATGAACAAGCATCCTCGTGTACTGTCCTGTTAGTGCCGGCACTTCTCCCATCGCATTGAACTAAAATCAGTCCTCGCTGATGGCAGCATTTTCTATCATTATTAATTCCAATGTATACGCACATCAAAGGTTAACGAGGCGTTCATCGTTTGCCGTTTATTTGAGGTCCGGAGAGTAATTAAGCCTATATATCTACACCGGCTGCATATTTATGCATACAGCTCTCATAACATGACACAGTTTGCTTGAAGACTAGCCCGTCAGTGCCGACTGTGTGGTTGCATCCTATAGGCATTTAACCGTGACCTGAGCCACCGCGCCCTCCTTCGTTCGCCGTGGACATAATTGGCGGCGCCGATTGGTCCACGCCCCGATATTTTCAATCGTAAAACCAGATATGGAGGACGTGGCGCTTGATGGAACAGGTAGTGAATGGCCAGGCTTCTAGCACCTGCCTTATCTTGTGATGATTGCCTCAGTGCACAACCTGAACGACGTTTGATTTGGAGAGATGTTCCATCTGCGCGGTGTAGGCAGCTGCCGCCGACTTTGGCTAAATTCGAGGCATGGTTAACTGATGTTAACATAATTTGTGTCAGTAGACGTTGGTTAGTTTTCCGCACGTATTTGTACATTCTGTAGTCATATTTTTATCCGTAGTCAATGCATGAAACATCCTGCTTAGGAATAGGACGTTTTGGCCGTTAGCGACTATTTCAGTCGATTATGTCATTTTCAATATTTGTTCTGTGTGAAAACAATTAACATAGACAATTTGTGTGTAGGGGTTAGAACCCGCACTTATATTAGAACCAGAAACTGTACAGCAGGCATATCGGTCGTAAAACTTACTGCATGTAAGCTGTTATATATCTGTTGAGATTCTTCGGGTTAATAGAATGGCGCAGGTTCTCCCGAAAGTGCTCAATTGATTGCCGAAGCTCATGTTCTGTCCCCGTATCTGTTATCTAAAAAGTAGACGGTAAATTGGTAAAATGGCTGCCAGTAGTTCACAAGACTTCTAACAGCAACTCGTGACGTAACATGACCAAATTCACGCGCCATAAGCATGCAATTTGACAAAAGTGCTGCAAACAGCCATAATAATTGGTTAAAATAATATTTTGTGGCAGTTTGCAAGACCAAGATCTTTCTTTTAAAATCGAGGGAAACTTTCAAGTGCGAAAGATAAACTGGGAACGTTTAACTCTTTCGTTTAATACCAGAGGAGATTAAATTGGCACGTGCTCCCATTGATTTACGTTTTAGAGGGCTGCTAAAGTCTAGGTCATGACACAAGTTACAAAACTTCAAAACATAGGAACAGTTCCATAGCCATTGAAATCTATGATAACACCTCCTCAGTAATACCACCCGAACGAATTTACTGATTTTCAATACGTAACGCATGAGACCTTGTCGTCCGTGGTCAAAAGTTCGTAATTATTACATAAGCGTGGTTTTGCAAGTTGCTGAGGCCATGAATTGTCCACATTCAGCAGATCCACGCTCCATATTGAATGAACATTTTCTATAACCGGGAGCGACAAAAACAACGCATTCTGATACGAAAAAAAATTACGCCATTTTAGCCCTTAAAGAGTTTTTTTGCGGGGATCTTAAAAATAAGCTTTTGATGTGAATTTATATGGCAGTACATTCGTTTTACATACTCATAAGAGAAGAAATCATAGACATGTGAGAACTTATTAGATGGAATCAGAGTTCCGAAGTGTACAAATTACTTATTAACTTAAGTAATTTGTGTCTACTGATGAATAAGCTCCAACTAGAAAAGGCTAAAGCAACTTAAACCGATATCTATTACTGTACCGCGTTCGATTAAAATTAAACCAATAAGTACGCACTGTGGGAAATTTAACCTGTTGGACAATTTTTGTTGAAGTACGTAGAGCAGCAAAATATGCAATGTAACCATAATGCGTCATATAAAAACGGACATATTCTTAAACTTTTCATCTACCTAAATTTTGGTGAATGCAGTTCAGAAATAAGTTTACGGTAAAAGCAATTTTGCAATATGTAAATCCAACCACGCCCTGCTTTGCTGAAGAAAATGAAGAGTTCAACAGGGTAGAGACTTAGGGTCGCCTTTCCGAACACAACGAGCATTCCTGTCGTCCACAAAGCTACTCAATGAAATTCATGGAACCCTTCCATGTGGGTGAGGTTAAATACGTCGAAGGCGTTTCCAAGTGCGTCTTGCTTTTTCGAAAGATAATGGTCCATAGGTTGGCAGTAAACAATTTTCGCGCAATGCGCCCCAGATCCCGATGAAACTAATAACATATGTTTTTCAAATGTCCAATGTTCAAAATAATTGATTTCCAGAAACCAGACCACGTAAAAACAAGAACAAAGGTTTATTTCTGTATACAACCTTGGAGTTCCTCGAGCTTCCAGTTATCTCATTCTGCAGTCAACTGTCCATACTGACATCGTATTGCCAAATTTGCATGTAACATTTTTAAGCGGAGACCGTTACCTTATTTCATCGCCGCTTTAAATCACACAACACTTTAGTACACGATTAATGCCTTCAACAATCGCGTAATTGTTTGATTTAACCTGAGGCAAAGGCATGCCTGCCGCTCCGAAAGATATAACCTATCTCAGCCATTGCGATGACGAAAAATGTAACGATCACCCACTGATGTGCTGAAATTGTTATAAATTCGCCTAATATGTTCCGGGAAATGTACTTTTGCATGCAAAAGCCTCTTATAAGTCATACTATCAGCCGAAGTGCGTAAGACTGTTAAGATAAATCAAAGTTGCATTATAACTATCCTAAACTAAGTATACAGGTCCACGCGTCTTTTCCTCTGAGAAGAGGGCAATCAAGCTTGAGCGTTGTGCCCACAGGAAATTGCTACACTTAAAAACAGCTCTTTTTTCTCCACATAAATCAGACAAAACAAAGTGCAAAAAAACAGATTATAGTAAGATAACCGGATGTTTCGTCGATTGGAAATTTTGAAAAATGTGATCAACATGGCTTAATGCCCCAAAATACAGTTTAAATGTGGCTGTTTTTTTCCCTACTCTAATAAGTTATTAAAAAAGGGCGCCACGAAAAGCTCAGTCAAATAAGAATAATGTGGCAAGATAATTTTTGGATGACTTAGAATTCTTTAATGCGTAATTTAGCAATGGAATATTTATGTGCTGTAGTATGCTATGCATTCAAAGTTTACGCACAAAGCCTAATCGTAAAAAGGAAGTTCTTCCCTTTGCAGCCAAACCATTATCAGTAATTTCCAGAATAGTGAAAGAGAACTGTTCACACGTTACAATTTATACTTTCACAGACCGTAATCTGCGCATGTATCGTCCTATTCTACGGTTACCTCGGATGAAGGGTTCTCAATAGAATCAGAAACGTCAGACAAATACACTTATTGTTCCAGCGATCGCATCTTCTACCTCATAACTGCTTCCTGGATTTTCTACTTTGACGTTACCGTGAAAACTTTAAATTGCGCAGGTCTGCGTTAATTCAATGCCTTATTAAATCGCCTTTTGTAGAGTTAAATAGTTGGAGAATGTTGAGTAATTGACTTTATCCATACCCCATGCCGTCTTTTTTGTCGACGTTCAGATTTTCCGGCGATGGGTATTTACGTGTTGGCGGGTCAACAACTATGCTTCAAACGGCCATTGGCATAAAGACATGTTATGAACGCAGTAATTCCGTAAATGGAACATTTTTAAATAAAGAACAACTACACTTGTGGAAGCATTGTCAGGAAGCACTGAAAATTGTGAAGCATTCACCGGTATTTCAAAGATGATGTGAAAAACACCGTACAACAAAACCAGAAATGCCGATAAGGAAATCTGACGAAACGGAAGTTTTACTTTATACCTAAAAGATAAACTGTCAAATTAAATATCGACCAAAAGATTTATTAGGTGATAGGTAAATAAAGTACGGAGATTTTGTCTGACACGCGGGTATGCACGGCAAGCGGAAGTTACCTAGGCAAGTTAGCTGAGGTTACAGTGCAAGCGTGTCAAGCCTGATTAAAACTGCAATACGCGGGACAGCGGCCATTCTTGCGGCCGGAGGGAGCGAGCGGACACGCTCCCTGTCAAGCATGGTCAAGTAATGGTTTCGATGAAAGTTTGAACGACCACGCATAATCTCCCAGTTATTAATTGTAAGCACAAGAGTACTAGCTAATACCGCTAAATTAAATAACTACGTTTTACCTACGCATTTGACATCGAACATGTATTTGCTGATTTTGATAAATTGTGCCCCGCAAAGACAGTTGGCAACACGTTAACCTGAGCATATATCAAGGTGGTTACTTAGGGCGGAAAATAAGGTACCCAAGAACTAAGGTACAAGGCCCCTGGTGTACTGTGATCATACAGCGGAACTAATGGCTGCATTCAAGGTCGTATTTCGTGTGTCGACTGGGCGTCGCCTGTGGTGCACAGAGGGCGTTGCAATACGGAGAGAATAGACGGAATTATTTGGGAGTTTGATCACGTGATCAACCTCGTACTGCCATGATAAGGATCGCTGATGGGCGTAACCCCATTCCTTCCCACGCCCTTTCAGTTCTCCCCACATGACTGACTGCTGTCCGACGTATTGCTGACTTAATCCGGTGGTCACTATAATCTGAACTGTTTTGCCTAGATAACTCTCTCTCCCCCAGTCCCTCTTACCATGCGCACCGTATGTCAGACGAGCAGTTCATGATTAAATTACCTATCACTTTCATCGTTCTAGGTTGGTATTTCATTGGACAGTTTATGTTTTATTATGTAATAGGAAATGAGAGTACGCAGCTGCACAAGAGGTCACTAACTTCTATGACGTCAATAGATCCTTCGTTCTTATCGCTTTTATCTTGTTGAACCTTTACATAAATGTTTTCATCATTGATCGGTTTGTCAACATATGATCTTACTAAAAAATGCATCGCTGTGACACCCATAACATAGAACTTAAGAAAAAAACAGCGAATTTCGTAAACCAGAAAACAACTACAAATAAAATAAAACTCAAGCAGTGCTTTCATGAGATATTTGTTAGATGAATTGAAGTGTAAGAAACATTGTAATTTTGTAAGATTATTAATATCAAAGTGACATAAAACAAACTAACAACATAAAAAATAACACCAAATGGCTTTAATATGAATCTACATACGGTTTCTAATCAAATGAGTGACATTCAGATGACTTGCGTTTATTTATGGTCAATCTCTTTAGAGAAATCAAAAGGAAACTGCAACTCCTATGAGGAGAAACATGAAAGAACCGTTACTTTACATTGATGCGCTTGTTGGTCCATATTAAGAACTCCATTAAATTTATAGAAATGATCCAAAATAAAGTCCATGAGCTGTCATTAAGAACTCATGGCTTGGTAATGCATTATTCGGATTTTTTATGCGAGGTTTTTCCTCGTTGAAATAAGCCAGTCATGGAGTCTAAGATGACACTAAGCATCAGTTTTAAATTTCTTTAGTCGTAGACGAAGTTAAGTTGTTAAGGTATTATAGTAAATGTAGACAGCATGCCCATATTTAAGGAGTTTATAGAAATTATCGTTGAGCACATGTCTGTTATCCAGAATTTAATAGAGCTACCTTGTTAAATTATTAATAAAAAGAATCCTACTTACTTGGACGACGGAAAGTAATTAAGGTCTTTATTCATTTTTTCACTCGTAAAAAAACTCGGCGCCTTCTGTGAGATTCGAAATCACATTAGCAAGGGGAAGACCTAAGTCTCGCCAACCAAGCTAGGAGGCTCCCACCGGGAGCCATGAATTTAATCACGTTTGGCCTGAATTAACCACCTAGCTTATTGCAACAAAGGAAATCCGCTAATACTTATATGTTAAGCTGACTGCCCAAGCAGGATTTCCTACGCAATCCCATCAAGGTCGCCGAGGTTTTCACAACTAAGTCAAATGAATTATTCAAATCTGCCAAACTACCCCGCTGATTAACTGTCATAGGCCGGTTTTGCAATAATAGTTATTTTGAAAGGCGAATGCGTTGCCTTTTCAGATGTTGCGCTCCCTCTCAAAGCTAGCTCATACCCGTGTTCTATGCAAGAATATTGTTCAGATACAATTAATAAATTTGCGGGCAGCAGACTAGGTGATTATTCATTTAATATCTCATCGGAAGCAAAAAAGTGAAAATATTTGCAAGACCACGAATTTTTTCCTTCACTTCAAGGACAGAACAGGACAGGACAAAAATAAATAGTTAGAGTCGCGCTACTTTCTCCGTAGTTTAATAAAGAAGATATTACTTCGTGTACACTGGAGGGCAGGCATCTCAAGAAATATAATTGCAAGGTAAGGTGGCCTTTGGGAAAATGAGGAAATGGATTCAAAAAAGGCCGGGAATTTCTTGAGGCCATGCACTTCGATGATTTATGCATCAACCTGCGTATAGAGTTGGCTGAATTATACAAACACCTCAAAGAAAGGTGAAAGAGACTACAGCTGAAAACTATAGACCAACGTGAACTATAATCAGCGCCCATACCGGATGACCTGGACTGACCGCGAGCCGACTTAAATTACAGTTGCCAATTAGCCATTACGACATTGCGACTGCTAATTATGTACATCACGATGTGACGCAAAATTGCAACTGCCAATTAATGCCCACACTATATAACTTCATCAGCACTTTGAAATATTAATTGTTATTTGCACATTTTCCTCAAGTCTGACAATGATCTGGGGATCCAGTGTATAAAAATGTATCGTATTAATTCCCTTATTTTCCCAAAGAACGCCTTTCCTTGAAAAAAAGATATTATGCTCATCGCTTCTTGTAACTTGGACTGATTGCATATAAGAGCTGACAATTAGTGTGAAACGCGAACAACAGTGCAATCTCTATGCGTTACTTCGGTGATTCTCCTGCGACACATAAGTCCAGTAAATCTGTTTCAAAGTACCGACTGTGTTCATAAAAGCAGGCGAATCGTAATACTTTACTTAGTATAACGTGCAATTAAGTTTCTGTAATTGAAAATATGTGATTCGTCAGTGGAAGTCATTGTTGTGCTGCCTCTTGCGGACGCATGCACGGAAATGAACAGTTAATCATCAGCCTGTGTTATAAAAGCAGCCTTACATCCGAAACACAGAGTACGTAAAAGTATCCCTTTCTTGTTTATTTATGCCATAAGCAGTAGGTTAAGCAACCAGGACGGCTTCATCGAACACAATTCAAGGCTAATGCAGCAGATGGATCGCATAAATTTTGCAGGGATGCCTTTCAATCTGGGATATAATCAAGGCGCGCTCCTCTTTCCTCACGCAGATATTTATGTCATACTGCCTGGCTGACGCAGATGTCCTTTGAAGCACTTTTGCAAATACCAAAAGAGGACATATGTTGCGTGAGTGCTTGTTTGTGTATGTGTGAGCGCGCCTCTGTGGCAGAATGCAAAACGAAACAAAACATTTTCTAAAGCACAGCATGCAGGCTTAGCATTCAGAAATGCCGCTGTTAGCCATAGTTTTACATTTGTTTTAACAGGAGAACTGCTAATGCGGACCATGAAGGCTGGCTGTAATTGAATGTGCTTGGTCAGCTTACCCGTCTGGCGTCCTGGAAGTGTGGAGCTCAAATTAGGACTTAGAATTATAGGCTTGGACAGCATGTGCATTTGGTAAAGCAATTCATTGGATGTACAGAGACGATCTGTATTTTTCACGAGAAGAGATCCACTTACCCAACCGAAACGATGAAGGATGAGAAAGCTCTCCGTTGAAGCATTCATGCCCGTGGTGTTCAGTTTCCAATTTACTAACTGAAGCAGAAATTTCACATTTAACAAAACAATGATAGGTACCAGGAAATAAAGGCCTTAGCGGCGGCTACAAGAAAAACCTTCAGTTACTAAAAAACCGTAGGTTTTTAAAGGTAACTGCCTGTTATATGCCTTTGGAGTTCACTTCAACCAAATGGGCAACTGAGAAGGTATAAGCAGAAACACTCAAATCACGCTCGGGCATTGACATCAATTACGAATATAGGTTAGTCACGAAAGCCCTTTCAACGAAAGGCAGAAGATTGACATTCCGACAGTATTCTTTCTTTGAATATTCTTTGCACACGGCATGCATTCTGCTGGGCAGACTCCCATAAGAGGCTTAATCACTACGGTGATCCAAAAGATTATTTAAATATCCCCTGAAATCGAAACGATTTTAGGAAAAGATAGGTTTTGCTCCCTGTAAACGGCCTTTGAAAAATAAGAAAGTAGCTTAAATGTCATAGCATTCTCCATTGCAAACGGACGCCAGAGAAAAGGTACTCAAAATAAATGTTATTAGGAGTTCTCCTGAACCTGGAATTATAGTGCTCCTGAAATATAACCTTTCAGTCGAAGACAAACTTTTAATTCTATCACTTTTGTCGAGCAGTATTTTTTGACCGTTAAAATGCGACAATTAGTTTATCTCTTATCAATTAAACATTGTGTTATCAAAAAAATCAGTTGCTTATAATCCTTTCTAGCTCAGGCTGCTATCTGGTGTGCGATGGAATTAAGTAAACTCACTGTGATTCCAAGTACCTAGACTCCTTTTTAGCTTCGAATCAATCATTTCGTCAGAAATTCTTACAAAAGAAGGGCAGTTAGCACTTAGCTGTAGAAAGTACCAAACACTACCTTACGATAATGAAAAAGCATAAAAAACATACAGAAAAAAAACACATTATTATTCTTGCCCACAGATGAGATGACATCACTACTGTGAACAAGGCAGAATACACAGAAAAGATGAGACCACTCTTCAAAAATGAGTCAATCTACAAACGAACATTCTAGTCTCATGAAGTAATTGCGAAAAAGCAGATATGATCGCTGGGAGAGAAATTATATTCTCCTGATGATATGAAATCCGTCACGGATATTTCATCAGAGACCGTGCGACATGTCGCTGATATTGTATCTAATGAACCATCCGCGGCGTATTTGAAGACGTTGGGTTCATAAATTTCGTGCCCCAGAGATCACATTCACACCTTATTTACATGCTTCTGTCCCATTCGCATACAAAATGGCAAAACCTGCGCACTAAAAAATGCCGAAATGTCAGAAATGAAGGAACTTCATCTAAAGAGATATCGCCTTATCTCTTAAAAAGGACGAAGCACGGCCTCCATTGTGACAAAATGGGCCCCAAATCGATGCATCCAATCGTAAAACGTTAAAGTTACTATTTTTCCGACTACATCCACTTTCAATGTACCGTGAGTATTTCAACGAATAGACGAAAGTTGTTCATAAAAAATTAAAAGGAGTCGAAGCTACAACTGAGGAACTAATGTTTTCTTTCGATGTAGACTTTTCCTACACTGCGATTCCTCTGGACTTCACCACTACACCGCTACACCAAGTTATTACTTCAAAACTACCCGACGGATGTGTTTGTCAGCGCTTGCCTACAACTAGACCTTTGTCTAGAAACGAACTTCTTCTTTTCCAACCACCACTGCCGAAAAAGTTAATGGTATCCTATGGGTTCGCCTATATTCAGCTTTCTAGTCGAAGTCGTAATGCAGAAGATAAAATCAATGGCTCACCATACAGTGAAACCAAAACTCTAGCTGCGCTTTGTACACGATGTTTGCCAGCCTCAACATAAATCCACACAAATCTTGATACTATATTTCCAGGAAGGGAATTTACTTTCAGACGGAGGTTGCTGAACATCTTTAATTGCAGGAAGTCCTTGCATCTCGAAAAGCTGATGGATCACTCCAAAAACAATATTTCGCAAATAAGCATAATTTAAGATCATCCTATACATTAGAATAACCGCCCGCCTATCACAAACGGAATTCTGTGTACAGCTTTCTAAACCAAATGCGTACATAGCTCGTATGCCCGAAAAATAGGGCTTAGCAGAGTCGACAGGAAAGGCGTGGTTTAAAAACCAAATGTGTCGGTGGCGATACAGTTTAGTGTGGCCAAACCTGTAAATCCATTTAAGCTGCATACACGAACGCCAGTGAGTGGTTAGAAGACGCGAACGCCGATCTCAGGTAGCCATGCACACACAAGAAACCGGAAATCAACTGACGTGTAAAAACACTCGGAAAAGGCTGCATACTACTGGAAACAAAGGTTTAGATAATGCATGCGTCCATCAGCACATCAATTTAGATGCCACTTAGAAAAACCACAAAGACATCTTAAGACGGGGTTAGTTATTCGCGAAGGGATGAAAAAAATGCAAATAAAGCGGATTTTTGCAGACGCCAATAAAACGCAAACTGTTTCGAGATATAGACTTAATTTTTAATTTTTGTGCAAAGCCCACAGACGATCGACAAACTGGCAGAATACTGTCAAAAATGTACACTTTAAAGTTTACATTTTGCCATATAATTTAATTTCCACCTAGTTAGATATCCTGAGATGCCCGTATTTCATTACGCAAATAAATGAATGTAGCAGTAGAAAAATAAATACAGCAGATTTAAACTATTCCAGAATACCTTATCACGTAGCGAGTCTGCAAAGCTTGCCGTTTGACCTGTACAGTGAATAAGAATAGCTCCGAGAACCATTTCATCGTGGATCATCTGCAGGGTAGGTAAAAGAGATAGTATATGACCTGGGAAAAATAAGGAAATAGAAACAGAAGTATGTTTCCCAAGTGAAAATAAGCTGGAAATTATATCCATATGAAGGAGCTCACGTTTTTTAGTGACTAGTGAAAGTATATTGGAAACATTTAAATACCATTTAAATACAATTGTTATTAGCTTTATTCATTTTTTACGAATGAGTATCTTGATTGTTCTGTCGACAACAAGCAAAACTTTGTCTTTACCAAAAAAGTTACTTTTTTCGAGGCATTCAAGAAACCACTTATTGAACACGACAATATAAGTTAACGTTAACATACCGCAATTATGTCGGCAAATACTGAAAAGTCGCCATAGATATTAGGTTTTAATTACGGAACGCAACGCATCATTAAAATAATTGTACGAGTTAAAGTGATAACATCAAATTTAGGAAGGCCTTCGTCTGGTTAATATTCATTTCTTCAGCTTAAGAAAATTGCCTTACCAGCATACTGATATGCTTATTAAGAATAAATGTTTGATACTTTTATATATATCGGTGGGAATAAAATTCGTAAATGCCCCATAAAAAGAGCTGAAATTGCTTATTTTTTGTGTTTATGGGTAGCAGAATTTAGACGGTTAAGGGAGAGAAGACGAGACTAAAACATTTCTTATAATAATTATTGCCCGACTGCCGAAGACGTCCGGAAATTATGTGGAGTAGAATCAAATTAATGCAGGGAACAAATGGGAGCAGAGTGGCATCAATTAACCTGTTTCACAAGTCAAAAGACTCAAAATAAAGGCACTTATTCTGTTTCTGTATAGTATACCTTCCGGTGATACGTAATTTAGAGGCAAGACGGACAGAATATAAAAAGTTTTCATTTAGGCTCAGTATGCATGCATCCAATCTTTGGTGCGCTCGCAGTCTTAGAACAGTGCCCAAAAGTAATTAAATGTAGAGAAAAAAGCGTCATTATAAGGAGTTAAATGCGCTGTTTCGATTTCAAGACGGAACGTTGGAACTTATATTTTTAGCGAAATCAAAAAACCGGTAAAAGTATCAAATTTTGTACATTGACGTTTCCTTGGAAAGGAGGTAACTTTCGCATCAATTCGTTAGTTGAATGTCTCATTTAAGGATTTTCTAAGGATTTAGCTTCTTTTGATAAGTGTTTAATTGTTCTTTGACGTTTGTTGTGAACGCTCTTTTTTTCTCAGCAATGAGCTTTCATTTTGCACGAGTCCACAATTATGGCCCAAACAAGTAGGCCTCAATGTTTTGGTAGTCATTTGTAATATCATTTTTTAAGGATTTCGATTAACGCCTTGCTTATAATCTTAAGTTAAGGAGGAAATCTTATAAAGACGAAAAAGCGTGCAATATTTAGAGGCATATCAAGGACGACCTGAAACGAAAAACTTGAAATATCTCAAAATGTTTGCCGTACAGAAATATTTCCCAAAAAAAACAATTCGTTACGTCTACGATGTTTCCTGACAATCTCATTTATTGGTCAGAGTAACCGCGATTTTCACGGTTACGGCATATGAGCCTTCGTTGAAATGTTGGTATTTTTAAACAAACCTTTAATACTTTATAAGTATATTTTATATTTCATTGAGGTTTTAAATTCGTTTGAGATGGGTCAGTATTATTTCGGAGTTTTCGTATATGCGTTAATGCGGTTTGCGATAGGTCCCGTACTGTATGTTGTTTCGCCGGCATCACTGTTTGAAAAATATATTACTTCAAAACTGCTCCTCACATCTACCGATTATAGCTAAATAGACTTCCTAGATACAAAAAAACAGGTAGGAATTTGTGCACACTAGTCATGTTATATGGAATTGGCTTCTACTTAAAATATGGTATTTTTGAGAATTCATCCTTGCAGTTTCCAAACTTCCGTTTAAGCGTGCATACTGCCCTGTGATTTCTCTTTGCTGTTGCATATAAAGTTGATTGCTCTGCTACTGCTATATGGCAGCGTACTATATGATCTGTGAGATCATAAGGTGCTCCAGTACAAGTTCATATAGAAACTCCCATGACTCATAAGTCCGTTAGCCCAAAGTCCGCTTGTGGCCATCAATCACTGCAAGCTATATTGGCGGCCGTGCCTTCTTCATGAACGGCATCAAAATATTGGGCACACTGATTACGTTAGTCATCTTGTAATACTTTGATTATCTAACTTATGTTATTTATGATATTAAATTAAGGACCTACTTTTTGTTTTCAAAAGCTTGGGGGCAGAAAATGAGTATTTAGCGCATTATTCCACAATGATTCTGTACTCTGGAAGGGCAGAGAAATTCATCAAAATCCCCTGGACATTTATGCGGTAGTACAAACCAAACTCATTTTCCATATATAGAAGAGAATATATTCTTGTATAACAACCAAAGTCTGATCAGTTAGTCAAATTTTCCAACACAGCTAGTCAGACTTTTAAGTATCCCAAACACTCTTTAAACTTCACGGGTTTCACCACAATCATCATTTTGAAAATAGATAACTTTAGAACTTAAGTTACTTTGTTTTACGACCGGATTTTTACAGGTCTTCTTGTATTTGCACGTCATATTCCAAAAACGAAAAAAACGATTCATAAGGGCCTCTCGTCAGTCGTGCATATTTAAGAAAGCCTTCACACATGTTCAAGAATAACTTGCTTTATTACAAGGCATCAAAATGGTGCAGTAAAGTAACCTAGCAGTTGCTGCATTTCTTTAAACAGAAAGGAAAAATCTCCTTGTGGAAGTTTGTCAGGTGGTCTGCACGTGAGTGAGAAACCTACATCGTAAAATCTGAACATTTTAAATACATTCAAACGTATCTTAACTAAAGGTGAGTAAACAGCATGGTATTACAGTTGAATACCAAGTATTTATTGCGATTTTTAAGTCAATTGCGGAATTCGCCATACCAAAATTTACGTATCATTCGTAACTTACAGCAAATCTAGCAAGAATGTTGGCTCCGGCACCTTCACCGAATAAGACGACATGATCGAGCCTAAAGAGACACACGGAACGTGTTCTGAAACAGCTTTTGGATCTATTAAACTGATAAAGTAAAATATATGCGCAAAAGCGATGTATTTCGAAACCTTCACAGTTTAATAAAGAAGACAGTAAGAAGTCAATAATATGCACATCATCAACTGCTTAACCTGCAGTGAACACAAAATCGATTCTACTCACCCAATTAGTTTTGTAATTCAATAAAAAGATCAAAGAGCAAAGAATACATAAGGATCTAAATTAGGGTAGAAAAGATCCGGAAAAAGTGGTATCTTCTGCCGTACTTACGGAATTAAAATAGCAGTTCTCTCTGGGTGACCGGGAAACCTGCTATTTACATCCGAGGTTACCTCCATGTGGAAGATAAGCTGACTTATTTAAAGTGAGCTACACATAAAGCCACATCAGAGGTAAACATAGACCAACTTGGCCGACAGAACCGAGCATGTACGTTGCAGATGGCAGTTCAGAAGAAGACTCGATTAATTGAAAAAACATGTTTATTTATATGACCCTTCGGATTTCCAGCCGACGCAGAACAAGGTAGTAACGGCAGAACGTGCACAGTAGCAAAAGGGCGTAGTTGCAAGGCCAGTAAATGCCTGTAATAATCGGCAATATTCGTGTTCATCAATGGGAGTCGAAGTTAAGGTAATACTTTCTTGTTAATCAGTATCCGACTCATAAAGTGCCGTGAGTACATAATCGTTTTGGAGTATTTTCATGATGATTACTCTACAATTTGGCTTGCTGTTTCCATGATTGCTGGTCAATTGTACTCACGCCGCATGACTGAGTACTCTTGACTAGGCAATATCGCAGCAACGAATGCAGAGGTGCGAGATTATTGCGCTTATTAAATAAATATGTACCAGAGGAGCATAACACAAGCAGTACTCAAATTTTAAAGTGTGTCCGGATCGCATTTAATTAGCCGCGATCTAGGATTTGACGTGATTCCTCTTCACTGCTGTCGCACGCTGGACCATTGGCATTAATAATTATTTCCCAGTTTCTCCGACGTAGTTGCTTTGTCCGCAACCGCACTCGATTCGGTAGAACACTACAGACGTTTCTTACCGTGAAAGTAAGTCTTTCGGCCTCACGCGTTGGTGGCTGAGGGATTCATTTAGTGTGTGCTGAAGAGAGAAAAGATGATGATGGCTTTCGAGACGTTCATCACGCCCGCCAACATTTGGAGTTAATTGGCGATTTTCGCTTGCCGTATTTGTGCATGAAAAGGCCAACAAAATTGCGCGGGTTTCAATTTGCTCTAAACACCGGCCGCACATATTTTGATTCAGCATCCTTGCTTTCCGGTTTACTGAAATCTGCCGTCACAGCGCCCTAACCCGGCTGCATTTCTGGCAGAATGCATGGCAAACGACCGATTATATCACGTTGTGCTGCCAAAATTGTAGGTTATTTTAATTTTTAATAGCCAGCATATATACTACGGCCCTCGTTTAGATCAGATCAATACACAATTATGTTGCTGCAAACTCACAGATCTGTAAGTAATGATAAAACTTGGGATGCCACTGTCCCACCTGAATATGGATTTCCTTCGAATTAGAAATTATAAAATCGAGGTTTCCGACAACGCAAATGAAGTGTCTGCGCGAATGACTACCTTTTACACTCGGATATCTCCCAGAGCAGGCTCACCCTATCGGTTATTAAACGGCGAGTATGGTTTGTCAATGCTCAGAAAGGAATTTTACGTATTGGATGGATTCTGATCAGTGTATATTCACTGCAATGTAAATTCTAGATGTTATTGGAGCATTTCGGATGTTTTTGCCCCTACCACTTAGTACAGATTCAACACATGTGAGCTCACGGATTATTTCTCCAAATCCCAATTAAATCCATAAAAATTGCCAAAAAAGCAAGGTTTTGATGTGGTGCATGGGCGAATTATGCCAGTCTCATAACACCGACAATAAGAAATCACGTGTGTGGATTGGATCCGC